TTATAGCCATCCCCGACGACGAAGACCGCCTCGCCCCGGTGCTTGAAGGCGACCCCCCTTCGTCTGCTGCTGCGCACTTTTCGCCGCGGCGTGTACGCATAAAACTCGGATCCAAATTAGATTACCTTCCCGTGAGCGGCAGGGGCTACATTTTCGTGGCCTAACTAGGATTTATGGGTTACTGCTGCAACGTGCTGGGTTTTTCACCATACCGCGTCTCGCTCTCCGCCTCCAGGACGCCACGAGCCCTCTACGCTTCTACCCTCCCGAACGTTCAATTTTGGTTCTTTTGACGTATTCGATTTTAATATGTTACACTTGCGCACGCGGTGTACCAAAAGCTCCGCACGTAGATTTTCCACGGTGCAATTTCAACTATGTTCACGTCAATAAAACTGTGTCGCCGTGTTTACTACTTATTATAACATTCGCACGAGTAACATGCTCATAACTCATAACTAATAACAAATACATATATAATAGATACATCACCCATATTGAATAATTTTTATATTTTAACTCTTGGTGCGTACCTAATACCTATATTGCACGTCTATTTTATTGTTGATTTCAATTTTAAACCTATATTTGAGCAATACACGCTCTTGCGCAGATAAAATAACAAATATATAGTTTTTTTATGCAGTTCATCGAATAATATAAAACGTATAATATACAATTCTATACATAATAATGTGCGTATAATATACCTATACGTTGATTGGGTGCCCCAAAACAGTCTCACATTAGGTATATAATGCGATGGCTATTGTTAGTGCATTGTGCATTGTCAGTATGTTTTAGTTCTGAGCCCCCCCCCCCTAATGTACCTTAACTGTATACGGTACCTAACATAATATATATTATGTAGTGTACCTCTATATGCTATATTCTCTGCATCGTCTTCGTCGTATAGTCGGCGGCCGTTATATACCTTTTCGCGAACAATGTGTTGAGTGATGTATGTATACATTATATATTATATATATACATATATACAGGTATGTGTAATACAGACCACCCGGTATATGTGTTATACGTGTTATACGTGTGTGTGTGTGTGTGTGTGTGTGTGTGTGTGTGTGTGTGTGTGTGTGTGTGTGTGTTTGCGTGTATATTGTATAGAATTGGTACTTGTGTGCACGCGCAATTCGTGTTCCGGCGGGGTGCGCGCGCGGAGGAGGCGGCGACGGAGTTGCTTGGCGGCGCGTGAACGAAATGTTTTCGAGGGGATGATTAAGACACGGTGTGGTGATTTATAAAAATGTAATCACTTTGTCCGAGCGAAGACGGTGCTGCGTGTTTCCCCCGGGACGACGCGCCCCGCGGTAAATGGATGTTCGCCATATACGACAGCGCGTGTATATATAATATTATATATATATATATATGCGTAATACGTATACTAGCTATCTATTATATATAAGTATATGAGACTACCAGATGACGCCGCCGATCCGAGATCGAGCCTTCTGGTAGATATTACTGGGCCGCGTTTTCAGTTTGGTGAATTTTCTTAAGTTGCCACAAACAAACCGGCTTTACGATTTGTAGAAAATAAAATATACACATATACCTATGTATGAGTGATAAAATGATGATAATAATAATAATAACAAAACAACCCTCGTATTATGCAGCGGGTTGTACATATGTATTTATGTCATATATGATACGACGACGTGTGTATAACGTGTATATACTATCGAACACGGGGTAGGATTCGCGACAATGGAAATGGCCTCCGGACATAATCCTGTGCATATATATTGTGTTTTGTGCGGTGTAAAACATCTGTGTTATGCACACACAATATACTACAAGCATACACTGGATCTATATAGTTCACTCCTCGAGTTGCACCGAGGTCGATCGGCGTCCGCTTAAAGGGTACTTAATAATATAATATAATGCGCATGTTATTTATTACACAAATAATAATATCACATGTGTTACGATAGTGATGGTAGTCGCCCCCTGTAACCACCCGAACTCCCCTTATCCGTTTGACTATATGTATATGATTATAATGTTGCACGAATGAGCGAATTTTCTAAGTGCATACAGTCTATGCTATAGAGGTGCATATACGAGCATATATATATATATTTACCTATTGTATAATCGCCAATCGGGAATATAATACTTAGTAATGGATTAATAGAATTGCAACATAAAACCTACTATTACATTTAACAACCTATTAGTCATACCTATATAATAATTAATGAAATATAAGTTTCAATAATAATATTATAATACCTACCTACATAACGATGTGGTGATAATTTTGCCCAAGAACACTCTCATTATTTAAATAACTACCTATTAATATTTTAAAAATTATTTTTATTGACATAATTTTAAGTCGTTCTACTTGAAACTAAATTTTGATGAACAATAATATTTTTTACTATTTTCTTATTTTTATAATTTTTATATTTTATTTGAATGACAGCGCATATTTTTAATTTCAAATTACAATTGTGTTGTTCGAAGTATTTCAATGTATAAAAATCAAGTTTAAGACGAGTAGTTAATTCGTTATATTTTATAGTTTCGATATTGAAGTATATACTATATTGTGGGCCAAAATTCTTTGGGCAGGTACCTATATCCCTTCGCCATTTTCCTCCGCGCATCATCACTTTAAATCCTCATAAACAGCTCGTCCAAAATTCAAATCTCTAAACTCAGTAAGCCCTCTGTTCATATTTTGTTATTTTGTTATTTATTAGTTGTGATTATGTATTATTGTATTGTAGATAAATATGATTTTAGCAAGTATAGATATTCCTACCTACGTTCGAAATGCTATAAATGTCTGCTCCTATAACTGTACATACCTAATTTTTTAGGTTAAATAGGTCTATACAAGTGTAATTTCCGTCAATGATTTATGATGTACTTTTTTTAACAAAATTTCTGGTAGGTATATTTACCTTATACTAGTGGTGTTGCGTTTTTTTTCCATTAAAAATTATTCGTTCGATTAATTTCTCACAGTAATTTGGCAATTAGGCATTGCTGCGGAAACCCGAATTATTGTTATTACTATATGTATTTTATAAAACTCGTTTGCGATATTTACCTTACCTTGCCCACCTGCGAATAATATTTCTTGTGTACTCCGCTATAATATAATATATTATTATCATCGTAGTATATTAGTACTTTATACAAACGCTTTAAGTGTGCACGACTCTGGTTAAAAATAGCACGTACGCGCCTTGTAAAGCCATGTTAACTAACAGTGCTCGAACAATATTATTCGTATAATATTGTGTATGTATTACACGCGGACAAAACTGCGGCAGGGTTAACCGGCGAGAATTATATTATATTATAAAATTCAAGGACAAGACGGGCAAGACGATAGTTCTTATTAATGAGATATTTTGTTATTAAAAGCAATTACGGGGGTGAGAAATACCATTAGCTCATCATAATCCGTCGTCCCTGTATAGCTGCGTGTATTTACTCCACGTGAACGTTTATAAGTGATACCAGACCACTTCCGCGAGAGAGCACTTAACTCAATTACCACCCTAAGCGCTTATGGTGACCGCGTGTGTCTTCTTCCGTTTTTACAACACTCCTGGGGACCACTGATGCTTTCATCTTTAATGCACTTCTCTTCATTTATCATACCGGAAACTGTTCAACTGCATGCATATATACATGTATAGGCTGTACGTTTACTGCACGAGGTACGCGAGAGCGACCGTATACCACTTACCGTAATCCACAAAAACGGACGTTGTATTCTTTTCTTCCCGCCTCACAAACTACATCATTTTTCAAAAGTTATACGCAAAAAAAAACTATTTGGAAAATTATTTTCCCCCAATTTTATTATTTTTTCTGCCGCGACAAGGAGTATAATTTATAAATAATTTACAAACCTCGTTTTTGAAATACCTATATATATTTTCTTCGTATACAAAAATATCAATAATAATGTATATAAAATATTACACGAGTATATCTTATATTAATTCATTATCATTATTATATCGTGAATTCCTATCGTTTTCCATATTTCATACTGCACTCGTATACGTTTTATGTGTATAATAGTAAAAATAATTTGTAATTTTCTACTTGTTTTCTCAATGGGACCTACATATTGTATATGAGTATTGAGAAAACAATGTTACCTACCTTCATATAATTTATTTTGACCAGAAGACAATATTATGGTCATTTACATTTCGTTATAGCCTTTATATATTCTGGTAATAAGTAGGTATTTGCTAATACACTTATTATTAGTTGAAGTGTATATGTATTCACTGAATTAAAACTTATAATATTTATATGATGTTAGAATGTTTTTATTCGTGCGTGATGGTTTATATTTTGTAATTATATACAGCAAAAGTAGGTATACGACTCTTATCGTAAATTGGTAAAATAAAAAAAATTGATTCTTGATTCTATGTTGGCGGCGAGTATTAAAATTGTCTGTGGTATACAATGATATGTGTACATATGTCATATATAATATATATATATAGTCATAAAAAGAGAGCTAATAACAGTGTTTATAGTTAACTATCTAAATTAAGTAATAATAATGGCTCAGCAGTGTGTTTTGAAAATTAAATATTGAAATATGCTACTCATGATAAGTATACCAATATATTATATCGAAATGTATAATCTGCTCGTTATTACCGTGCAAGTGTGTATGCATTTTCGGTTGTTCATCTCATAATAATAGTGTTGGGGAAAATAAATTATAATATTATAATAGTCTGTTTAATGGTTATTACAAACAAAGAAATTATAGCTTCAAATTGATAAATATATCATATATAGAACATATATTGATGAAAATAATTATGGTTTTTAATAAGTATATGTTTAAAATTAAAAAACTTGCTTTGTATCAAATATTATTATTCATAAATTAGCACTTCGTTTTTTACCAATCACTTAAATGCTATATGATAATTATGTGATAAAAATACATAGATAACTATCAACACGCATGATTATAGATATATTAATGTTATATTTTATTGAATTATAAAAACTAAACATCAATAAATACAGCTGATATTGATCGTTGTAGCCACTGGCTGAATAATCGTCGCACGCATAAACATTAGAATGTTATTATGCAATACATTTAATAATATATACATAAAAATAATTTCGACAAAGAATATAATTGAACACATATTGTGCATAATATAATTTATTTTATAATAAAGGTATATATTATATTATCGAGAATATATAATAGTAAACGATCGTGCATATACCTGTATCCCGATAAATACTCGTATGCGAACTATATCTGCGACGAATCGCCACTGATGTTACCTATATAAACTGCAATATCAGGGCTTGCCGAGTAAAAAAAATTGCGTTCACGGAGTAATATAGGCGTATATATAGGTCCATAACGTAGGATAATAATATAACAATATTTGTGTATCTCTTTGAAAAAAAAATATGATTGTTTCATTTTTCGAAGCGAACAACTTGTGATGTAGTAATATTTAAAAACAATAAAAAACAAAACAAAAAAACAAAGTCATATCATATGTCGTTATAGTGATAAATTATATGGCACTCGCGAATAGGCACCTTTTAGTACCTATTAAACATTATGTAAGTTTATGTGGGGAGGTGTTAGTGGTTATATAATATCGCGTTACCTATATATACCTAATCGTTACGCTCAATGCGATGTAATAAAAAACAGTAATATAATATAATATTATATACCAAACATACAGTTCGGTTGGAGGTCATCTCTCCGCGGCAGAGAAACGAGAGCCGAAACAAGTGAGAACAGACAAAAAAATGTAATAAATATAATATAAAAAATATAATATAAGAAAGATGTACAATATAACAAAACGTAATAAAAACCTCTCCAGCGATGACGGCGGTGGAGTTAATGATGCGATGACGATGCGCGATACATAGCTGGTATAATATATGAACATGCAGGCGCGTGCCGCTTGTACCTATATATTTAAAATATATTGTATGCGGGATGGTGCGGCTGCAGCGCTCGTCACAGCTTGTCAAAAGCTCTCGAATTAGTGAGCAACTCTCTGGTCAGTCTCCACGTCTGCTTGGCTGCGTTCTCCAAGCTGCCAGGCGCCTTACCTTTGAAAAGGTCGACGTGCGGCAGGAAGTAGTGCGGGCACCTTCGGCACTGCAGGCACGAGATGAGCTGCAGGAGTATGCCGTTGATTCGGTCGCCCAGGCACGGCTCGTCCCATTCCAATTCAAGCGGGTGTTTCTCGCACTCGTACAGTAGCAGCGTCTTGATGTGATAGTTGGTGACTGGGTTGCCTGGCAGGTCCAAGTGCCGGTCCCTGAGCGTCTTGAGCACGCTCAGGCACCGTTTGCGGCATCCGCCGTACATGAGCCTGTTCTCGACGTCCACGAACGACATGACCCACGCGTCGCCCTCGAGCGCCGACTGCTTGCCGTGCAGTGTCACGCACTCCTTGGACAGCAGGTCGAACCCCTCGGTCTTAACTTCGGCAACCAGGTTGGGGTGAGGCCACGGGATCTGTGGCAGCGGCCAGTGAGCGGACGACCTTGGCCATATGCCGGCGCACTTGAACGACGGCGTGATCTGCACCACGTACCGCTCGCGGATCCGGAGCTTCACTTCGCTGGTGTCGGCGATCATCTTGACCGAATCCCGGTACGCGCACTTATCGCATGCTTGGGCCACCAACGTCTGAAACCGGGATCGGATCTTGCGAGCCGACAGGTACCCGGACGCCGTGATGAACTCGACCCACAGGCTCATGCTCCGCTTGCGACCGTCTCTCAGCTTGAGCACCGCGCACCCGGGCAACGACCCGTCGTCGACGAAGTTGAGTACGCCCATCTGGTTTAGGTAAAGTACGATCTCGAATTCGGTGGGCGACACCACGTCTAAGCCCTCGTACCGTCCGTTGCACTCGACCAGGGACGATATGAACCGCGGCTCCTGAGCCTCCACCTCCCGGAGCACATCTTGCACCACCTTGCACACCTCTCGGATCGTTTTCATCGCGGCCGTCTTCCGGGCCATCACCCGTTCCGCCCAAAACTTTGCCAGCTGGTACGACATCTTCGTCTGGGCCGACAGCATGTCCTGTGGCACGAGCATCGCGGCTTCTGCGGCTGTTGCACCAGCACCGTGTCGCATGTCACCTGCTGCAGGTCACCGCGTACGGGTCACGACATGATTACCACTCCGATATTACTATAATATGACACGTGTATACGCGGACGGATGAGAAAACGAAAATATGTGTATACAGACCGCTGAGAGTTCGCGTCGAAAACTATCGCTATAATATTATGTGATGGGTGCGTAAGCGGCGGATTCGATATATACGATGATGATTTATTTATTGTGTCGTTACGATGATAGTATTGTGTTGTGTGCAGTGCGAGCGACGTTAGACGTGATACTGCGGTATAGTGCGGCGGCGGTGGCGGTGACGGCGTCCGTTTAGCGGAACCACGACAACGACGGCGGCGGTGGCGGCGGCGGTAGTAGTACCGCCGACGGCATCGGATGGTGGCCCGCATCGGGCGTTCCTGCTCGCCTGCGCGGCGGGGCGCGGTCCCGGTAGGCGTCGATTCTGAGGGAACGCCCATTTCGCGCGCGCGCTCGTCCTCGCGGCACTATCGATCCGGGGCGGGTTCCAGGCCGCAGACGATGATATCGCTATACAACGCATTGATAATATAATAATCTTCGCCGCGTCGCATACGACGGATTTTGCGTCGCGACCGTACGGGCTGCCTTTTTTTTGTTTCTTTTCCCCCTATTTTGTTTTTTTCCCGTTTTGTTTTCGTTCCCGCGGTGCGCTTCTCTCCCGCATTTCACGGACGTGTGTGTGTGTGTGTGTGTGTCTGCCCGTAAGTCTTTTTCTTCGGATTTTTTTTACCATCTCGACGTGCTTTATATTTATACACTTGCAGTATCCATATATATGTGTCGAAGCTCACGTGTATAGTATATTATATACAGAGCGATTCACCAAGCATGCTACCCCCGGCCACAACATCATCATGTTTTCCTTTAATGTATTGATTTTATGTATTGAAATCCTGATTTTTGTTATTTTATATATCATCTATAATATACATACATATGTACATCTAATATTTAGGTACTTATACAGACCATATTTTTAAATTCTCGAAATTTTTTTGGACTGTATACCTATACTTAATATGAGTGTCCTGTCGAAATTCAAACTTCTGTTTTTCTAATGAGAACCCCCTTTACAGTTGAAAAAATTTAGATTATAATGTTTTTAAAAATATATGTGCTGTACTGTGTAGGTAGGTATATATACCTAATCTCGCAGTTGATAAAATGTTCATACTAAGAGGATATACTATAGTCCTTAAAAATATTATAATATAATATATTTATATGTATACCTACTACGATTTTTAAATCAACATAGCCCCCGTATATTCGAAACAATAACTATCATAAACAATAAACATATAATATGTATATAGGTATAATAATTATATTAGTAAATATACGAGAAAATATATGGTATCTATGAGAATTTCGATTATTTTAAATGCTGGACTTAAAGTTAGTATAGGTGTACCTATTTAAAATTCCAAAAATCACAATTTCAACAAATTCATCATAAATGGATAAAATGCAGGTGGTGAGTCTACTCGGTGGATCATCCTGTACATGTATATTATACCGCTGATGCTGTAACCTTTTCTCTTTTTCTCTCTATATCTAGTCTTTTTGTTTCATTCTGCGCGTATTTATATATGTGTCTTATGTATATGTATACGCGTAAACACACGCATGCTCGAGCAGGAAATTCGATACGTATTTTTTTTACCCTCCAAACGACGCGTTTTCATAATTTATTATACGAGCCAAATAGAAATACTGATGTGTGTGTGTGTGTGTGTGTGTGGTTTTTTTTTTCATTCTGACTGTCTGCAGCGCAGTCTTTATTGCTGCAGGAGAGTGTATTTTTTGTATATTATTTTATGTATATGTGTGCGTGTATATATATGTATTTATACGTACCTATATTTAATATGTGCATGACTATCCCCAAAGTTTAAACGATTGCATGAATGTATATATATATATATCATAATTTGATGTGTTTAATATATACAAGTCTATTTTTACTCATATTATTCATTCTGTCGATAAATGTTACAAGCAATTAATGTTTTACAACAAACGATTTTACATAAATTATACTTTATTATTTATTTATTGATTGTATATAGCTATTTATAATAGCTGTAATGCTGTATATACACTAGGTGTTGTCATTTTTTATCGGTGTATCGTACCTATATAGGTTTAGATGATACTTCCGGAAACGTTATTTAGATATTAAAAACGTCTAATACAAGTTGTTCAATAAATGTATATAATATATGCGCGTCTTAATATTACGTATCGTATATTTATTTTGTAAAAATACGAGATCGTTTGAAGAATTTGATTACATAATACGTTTATGCTCAAATAATGGTTATCTATCAATCTTAACCTTAACACAATATTTTATTATTTGATTATTATGCCATTAAATACGATTTTATATCTATAGTTATATAGATAAAGAGCTGTTAGGTACGTTTAAATTAACCGGCCGTACGGTGTTTATTTTTATTTTTATTTTTATTTTATTATGACGATAGTATAACTATGTTTATATAGTAGTTTTATTTGTTATAATCTTTTTATATATTAGTTTATAACACTTATAGCAGGTTTCTAAAAGCCGTATTTAACCTGTTTCACGAAAATGCATTTGGTAGAGATTATACCGAAACAAAACATTTCAAATTGTATATAGGTATATTATATAGAGATACAGAAATAGGTAATCTCCTATCAGGATACATGTACAGATCGCTTAGAAATTCCCCAGACTCAACTAAATCAATAATCGACTTCATCACCTCTTCAAAATTAATTATTGTACAAGATTTATATATCTTGTACTGCATACTGTATATTTCAAAAATTTTTTGTAAACCCCAATGGCCTTTATTGCTACCAAGGGTTAAATTAAATAATAAAACAATAAATTAAAATATTGGTACTCGAAACGATTTATATGGAAATCTGATTATTATATATTATGGCCATCACTTGTACATTTCAAATCAATGTAATATAAACTATATTATGATTTTAAACATATTTTTTCATTCGGCTAATCTTAAATTTTATCTGATTATAATTCTTTGAGTTTTAAGATACACACATATATATGTGTGTTATTCGGTTTAAATTTAGCTGTAATTAGATAGATATACATCACACAAGTTTTTAAGATTAGTATGATATAAATATCAGTTAGCATAACATAATGAAAACAAAACTATATCTGATAATTATTGATATTTTTATACATTTATTCGTTTAGTTATATGTACCTTTATTCTTTGTAGATAATTAATTTATTAAACAACTTATAAATGTATATCAACTCTTATGCTAATTATTCAAGACTTATAAGTAGGTTATAATTTAATGTCACGAAATAAAGTAAAATATAAGTATATAATAGATAATTTGAGTCGACTGTGGACGGCAGTTGCAAGACATATGATGGATATAGATATAGGGCGCAGCTGAATTGCGTGTGGCAGTTAAAGATTAAAAACCATTACAATCTAGAATTGCATGCGAGATTTGTTCTTGGTGCATCCGAATTGCGTGTTGCGTTAATGATAACTAATATTAAATCACAAGTATTTACTCAATTTATTTATTTATTGAAATATTAGTTAGGTATATATGTAGTAGGTGCCTGTAGTTAAATGTTATCAAAGAAGATAAATGTAGATTTATGTCAACATTTAGAGCTCACCTCAATAACATCCACAACTATTCATAAAAAATATTGAATTTCTAAATTATATGGTGAATATATTTTATTGATTAGGTATATATCCTATTCAGTATCTCAAACTTTACAGTGCTTTTTGCAGTAGTCTCAAAACGCAGCAAGTCCTAGCAGTATTTACGCCGGCTTAAAATCAGAGTAACTCTGTAACAAAATTAGTGTAATTTATTTTAATAGTAATTTTACTATTAACATTGTGGATTGGTGAAAGTACACCAACGCTTGATATAAAACATTTAAATATGTGTCATATATAATTATAAAATTCGAAATTAAAAGACTTAAATATTTTCAGTAATTTTATTTATAGCATGTAGGTATTATATTTGTATAAATAATGTATAGGTATTCTATTATTTAGTTACGTATTTATAAAATATTTACACACACAATATTATTATGAGCTTAAGACAATAAAAAGAAAAAAGCCATTAATGAAGAATATATGCATAACAATAATATCCGTCTATTAATCACATAAAGTAAAAAAGTCGATCTTATCAATTTTAATATAATGTTATCAGTATAAAAACTAATGAGTAATAATAATATATGTAATAAATAACTACTATAAGTACCTATGCGAACAAAATGGTAAAGTATATATTATATATATTATTATATACTTTACATATACATTTTATAATTGTTCTATACTACAGCTAATATTGCACACATACAACAAAAACGAAAAAAAAACAATATAATTGTAACTTAAAGATTAAAAATGATTTATCAAAAACAAGTAGGTAATAAAATAAAAGTAGTTAAATAGTACTATAATAACGATATAGTATATTGAACCATATGAGTCACGATTACTCGCGAGTATACCATAATATTATTATATAATATAATGTTATACGTAAAGTGCGTAAACTACTGAGGATAATAGTTGTCGGTTCTACAATATATAGAGATCTTTCTGGTAGGTTGCATTGCGTTTATATAGCTATAATAAATTAATAATAATATATTATAATCATTGTCACGCATTGCGACTTCCGTGTAATAATATAACATATAAAATAGTAAATAAAATATTATATAACATAAAGGGCCCCATCTCTTACCATATCCAGTTAAATTGAACGGACACTTAACCTGCGGAATTCTGCAGGTAATGAAATCTGTTATCAGCCGGTTAGCGTTAAACGACACTTGACCGGACAACAAAGAACAACCCTCTTTATGTAGTACATTACAAATTATATACAAATTATTATATTATATATTATCGACTTCAGCGTCTTGACGGAAACGCGTTGACTAGCTTATTATTAGGTGCAGTGTATATAATTATATATAGTAATAACTAATAATATTATATAATAATACTATTGTTCATATAATATATTATTGTATGCTCGGCGGTGCGAAAAAAATACGGTGAAACCCCTGACGACATACACCCCCCGAATAACGGACGACAAACTGTCATCCTTGCCGATAAATAGTGTCCGGCGTACGTAGAGGTTTCACTCTGTTTACTACACATACACAATAATAATATTATAATATACAAAATACGCTTCGATGAGGCGGAAGGCCCGCGAGACTCCTCACAGCTTGTCGAAGGCCCTGGAATTGGTGAGTATCTCCCGGCTGAGGCGCCACACGTGTTTGGACGCACTCTCCAGGGACGCCGGGGTCTTTCCCTTGAACAGGTCCAGGTGCGGGATGAAGTAGTGCGGGCACCGACGGCACTGCAGGCACGAGATGAGCTGCAGCAGTATGCCGTTGATGCGGTCTGCGATACCGGTCTCCTCCCACTCCGCGTCCCGCGGATGTTTCTCACATTCGTACAGAAGCAGCGTCTTGATGTGATAGTTGGTGATCGGGTTGCCTGGCAGATCTAGGTGCCTGTCCCTGAGCGTTTTGAGTATGCTCAGGCATCGCTTCCGGCACCCGCCATAAAGCAGCTGGTTCTCTACGTCCGTGAACGACATGACCCATGCGTCGCCCTCCATCGAGTTCTGCTTGCCGTGCATGATGACGCTGTCCTTGGACAGCAGGTCGAATCCCTCGGTCTTAACCTGCACGATGAGGTTGGGGTGTGGCCACGTAAGCTGTGGTACCGGCCAGTGGGCGGCTGACCGTGGCCACACGCCCGCGCACTTGAACGACGGCGTGATCTGCACCACGTATCGATCACGGATCCGGAGCTTCACCTCGCCCGTGTCCGACATCATCTTGACCGAGTCCCGGTACGCGCACTTGTCGCACGCCTGCGCTACCAGCGTCTGGAACCGGGACCGTATCTTGCGAGCCGACAGGTACCCGGACGCCGTGATGAACTCGACCCACAGGCTCATGCTCCGCTTGCGACCGTCGCTCAGCTTGAGCACCGCGCACCCGGGTAACGACCCGTCGTCGACGAAGTTGAATACGCCCATCTGGTTCAAGTAGAGCACGATCTCGAACTCGGTGGCTGATACCACCTCCAAGCCCTCGTACCGACCATTGCACTCGGCTAGGGACGATATGAATCGCGGCTCCTGGGCCTCCACCTCGTGCAACACCGTCTGCACCACCTTGCACACCTCCCTCACCGCTTTGGCCGTGGCCGTCTTCCTAGTCTCCACCCGTTCCACGCAGTACTTGTTCAGCTGGTACAGCATCTTGGATTGCGTAGCCAACATGTCCGATGGCAACAGCATGCCCGCGGTCAGCCGTACGCGTGAATCTCGTCACAATAACCGCGGTATACTATATGTTACGCTTATATATACGTTTTTTCGCGCACAATATGCAGGCGGTATACTGCAATCTCCCTGCGTCGCCGGTCACTACTGTGGTAAACTGATGTGGTGGCGATGCATCTGTAGCGGCGGTCGTCGCGTGCGGCCCGCGTGATCGGTTCGGTTCGTGTGCGCGCGTGCGGCGGCTGCGGCGGCTGCGTCGGGCGATCGAACTGCCGGGTCGCCGCTGGGTTCCCGACCCACCGGTTACGGCCACCACCCAGGTCACGCCCACCCGACCAATGGCGTGTGACCCGCCCGTTGCACGCCGCTGTGGATCGATATCGGCGGCGTCGTCGTAATAAGCAGTCGGCTCGCCGCTACAAAGTGCTGTAATCGCGCCTTTTTTTCCTTCGCCCAAAACGGTCGCAACTTATACCAATAATAGGATACCGTCGTCTATCCGCTTGTACACTTTTTCCTCGAAGCTCCATCGCGTCATAATAAAAATATAATATAAACTATTTAGCTCCGAGACCCGAAGTTGATTGGAAAAAAATACGACAAACTTAAATTAAGCTATCGGTGTAGGTACTTACTATACATGGGCAAGTCGCGACATCGGTGCAACACTCGCTTTGTGAACTATAATTTGACTGAGAAGGATTTCTGCTTTAACTGATAATTATTGGTACTCAGTAACTATATTTTCAAACAAGGTTCAAACCGCTTTCTTTAAAACTTTCCTTATATATCTCTATATAAGAACAATATCGACTTTCGTCCAAGTCCGTCGAGTAGTTTTTGAGTCTATATATATTATAAGGTACATCAAAGATATACTGACATTGCCTTTTGTTATTGTACGAATTTCAATAACAAACAATTATTAATGAAATATATTATTTTATTTGAGAAATTCCCATGGAAAGCCAGCAGAATTGTTTTAAACTTTATTTTTGTAACTACAACATTAGGTAAACATTAACAAAAAAAACTAATTTTATATGTGTGTCACCATATATATAGAAATCTATAAGGGTTAAAAATTAAACAAAGAATACACTCCCCAAGTTTCAATAAATAAATGGATTCTAAATTTAGCCATAGTTGGTTCAATACCCATTTAATATTTATACTTTCTAAGTATATAGACAATATATCACCTGCATATACAAACGTGTAGGGCATAGGCTATATAGGTATGTATAATATATATATTAATTTGCATACACCTATATATAGAGATAAATATTGTGCGTATAAGTATCGGTATCTGTACTAGTTCGTTTACGTTTTTTTATTTTTTTTTCCGAAAAATATTTTCTACTCTGTGGACAGGTGCGAAGACTGTGGTTTTATAGTTCTCACACGACACTTTCGTATAAAGTATTCCGCTATACGTGCGTTTATATCTATATGTAGACACATAATGCTAGTGCGGTGTGTGTAGATCATTATACGAGTTTCGTTCCAAATACAATGGCTTGTTTCGAACCTATATATATATATCCATTAATACTTATACTATATATATACCTACCTTATACGAGTATGTATATTGCATACCTATGTATAATATATAATTATTCGACCAATGTATATTTATTAAAATAATGGCGATTTAAATACATATTATAATACGTATTTGGTAGTAGCTGGTATATATAGGTAATAGGTACTTATATAATATATTATGTATAATATGGCTGTGGCTAGTGTATATAGGTATAGTCTTTGCACATTATATACAATACGAAATAGGTATATACATATACTATGTATGAATGTGTTTGTGCTCGAGAGCGGTTTTTTTTTATATGCTCACATAGATCCGCCGCTGCAATAAATCTATATATACCGTTTGATATATCGTCTAGATATAGGTAAACAAGGTATGTACGCAGGTATAATATTATAATGTGACTGTATGTAAATCTTCAATCACTCGATGATTGGGCACCGCTTGCCTTTTTCCGTGGTCGTAGTTATCTTGCGAAACTCTTCTAATTGACGCACATTCCGCATAATATTAGACCTCGACCAAACGATGAAATCCATAAATGTCTCGTTTAATACACTGCTCAACAATATAGCTGAGCATTATTTGCGTATGTATGGGTGCCTATGTGTGACTATGTACCTATGTAAGGTTCGTATTTTATTCCAATTATCATTATTTGTATCGCATATATAGTTGTTTTATAGGTTGTAAAAATCGTTTTACGCTAATATGGTCGTTTAAAGTTTAAACTTAATCTATAACGTATTGCACATTACTGAGGTACCAATTATATATTACAGAGTAAAATTGCACCCATATATATAGGCATATTAGAGTATTTTACTCGGAATAACCTTCCACATCAGAATTATTTATTAATTGTTTTTAATTCCTAAATATGTTTATTTTTTATATGTACATATAAGAATGGGCCTCTAATATATTATGCATCTCTATAGTTATTAGTACGCCTTTAAGTGTTTCCGGTTATATTGTGATTTGTGGTAATAGAATATTTATATATATTCGTAGGTATAGATACACATACTATAAATAATCTCATAAATCGCACATAATATTATGTTTATAGAGAGGTATGCGTGATATGTTTGCAGTATATATAGCAGCCTATATATATTATATAGGTATAGTATAATATGTCATGCAAAATTAATTCACATTAATGTATTTTTTTTTTTAATTGTTCGCGTTTTATTTTATTGATAGAAAGTTAAATTACAAATACTAGTATATCAATACCTCGAAGTATCTATTTGACGAGAACAAAATATATTTAACGATGAAATTTTCACTTTTTCAAGTGATTTTATTACAAAGTTATAAATTAACCCTTAACTTGACGCTGTATCCTAAAAGATACACGTAAATCAGTTAATTTTGATATTAAAAATATTATTTTTTTATTCCATGAAACTGATGTAAATTTTTCTAAATATTCCAAAGAGTTTATATGTGTAATATTATTTGATAGTAGCTAAAATTGATTACGCTGTTATCATTTGTCTCACAAGTGGATTATAGTTTACACGTGTTTGTGATTTCCTGTGACTTTGGAGTGTTATAAGTCATTGAATATACGCGACAACAAGCTGTAAGTTAGTAATATTTATCAGGTTATCTTTATTATCATTTTAATATAATAAAATGTTAGGTTTTAACTCTCGAGTATTGTTTTTTTATTGTTTATATTTGATGTATCCAATAAGATACATTGCTCAGCTACCTCATGTATAACATTGTATCTTATAAGATACATTGCTCAGCTACCTTATGTATAACATTGTATCTTATAAGATACAATTTTCAGTTATCTCATGTTTATTGTTGTATCTAAAAAGATACGGAACCTTAGATTCTGAAATAAATTATTAAAATATTAAATAATAATAGCCATGCAAATAAATAATAAAATAAATATTTCATTTTTATTAGGTAGCTATGTATAGAAATAAAAAAATTATTTCATCTCGAAGTTTGCGGCTTTTGAAATCTGTTATTCCTCCATCAGAATCAGAAGATTCTGAAACTGAAGATGAGACTGAATTATCATTAAATAATAAATCAAATGCCCCCAACATGACTGTTATAGATAATTCTGATTGTAGTACACACTCGTCAAGTCCTCCGATTGGTGCTTCGGAACTAGAGAATTATCTAAACGATATCGATGATATGCCCATGTTTGATGAATTAGGTACAGACATCAATAATTACATAAATTTACCAAGTAATATATAATATATAATATGGTTGTATAATTATTTTTTAGTTTTTTTTTGAAAAAGTTGTTTTCTTTTGTATGCATTATTTACCAAGTAGGTAATCAAAATAAATTCATTAACTGCTTTGTATTACTATAATTTTTTTTTACATTTTTTCTATTAAAAATCAATAAAAACTATATTTTTTGACTTTTTATTACATAGTTTTACTTAGTAACTTTTTAGTAATAAAACTTAGAATAGACATAATCAAGTGATGTACACTAATGTATACTAGATTCAAAATGAGGAATTCATAGCGACGTATCCATTAAGATACAAAAATAAAATATCGCATACGAGGTAGTGTATCTTAAAAGACACGAAATTGAAAACAGCTTCTTTGAGGTGATGTATCTTTAAAGATACACATTTCAACTCAAAATATCTCAAAAACTCATGTCACTTTTTTAAAAATAAGGTCAAAAATGAACTCTACGTGTTTTAATTATTAAAAATAATGATAGTTTGGAATTTTCGTGCAATATTTTTTTTTTTGCCAAGTTAAGGGTTAAACCTATATCATGATTTATGTCTATTTAAGAGGTGAAAATATTTTCACTGCAAATATTATATTTATATACCTACGTATTTTATTAAGTGTGCACCTCATGCATAAAATATAAACATAAAATACCTACCTAATACCTATATGTAATATATGTTCTATACAATATGATCTCTTGATTATTAATAGTATGTATATATACATCTCTATATGCATAGTATAAATGTTCATGTATAATATATATAGGCATACACTGTACAGTGTATACGCTATACATGCATAAAATATATTTCTATTTCTATATTAGGCAACTAACTTTACTGTTGTACCAACAATCTTTCCTTGTTCTTTAAAACATAATATTATATTATATACCTTTCTAGTACATTATAGTATCAATAATAATTAATGCTGTCATTGTCTTTTTTTTTTTTAAATAAAATTAATGTTATGTTTCAAAAAAAAAACATGCATTTCTAATTACTAGTTTAAGACGCATCGTAGGTATATTATATATTCGATAAAAATATGTATTGAGCCTATAAATTTTATACCTATATATAATTTAATTTAAGACACAAATATGTATATAAATCTATATTATATGTATACCTTTTATAAATGTGTAGGCTCAAATGTATACGGAAAGAGCGAGGGAAAGAGTTATTCGATAAAAATGTAAATGTAGAGAACTGACTCATTTATACACATTTTTGTAAAATATAGAATTTGCATTTTAAAATAAATATTATATTAAAATTGAACAATGAGCATTTTCGAAACGCTTTTATACAAAAAAAAAAGTTTAATATTTAATAAAGCCCCCCATCATTTAGCCGCTGTCATATTTTTAATAATATCCAACTGTTAAGCAAATTGCAAATACTCATCTTCTCGATCAATTTTTGGGATATTGAATAAAAAAATGTAATACATACATTTTCTT